AGGAGAAGATGTCGGTCAATGATCACTTCTATCCATTTCCTATTATTCACAAGCTTTTTCCTTCTTCCTTTTCCTCTTTCCCCATAAATTCTGTATCTTCCATCTACCACATGTGAGCTCTTTTGAGGACTTGGTCGCTTGAATCTTTTCTTAACCTTTCCAATATGAAAGGCAAGGTGGTGTACCTGTCTTGACAAATATAACCAAGAACACGAAAAATACATTAAAAAGAAGCTTTCTATTGGAAAATATTCTGGAAGAATAAAGAAGAAAAGTTAAATCTTGAAACGCGAAATAAGAAGTGAAAGTCAACAAACAGATCACGTGGTATTATAGTACTACTTGTGGTTATAGAATATATGAAAGGATGCCTTTCAATACTTCATTAAACTATTTTTTATTATTTATATTTTAAACATTTAATACCACTTCCCATGCTGATCTTCAATTGCACGTTTCATAAGGCATCTGCAAATGGGTGGTGACTAGAGATGGTAATAAGTATTGGAAGATCATAACTGAACCCAAATTTGACTACCAAGGTCGTAGTCAATCGACGAAGGTTCTTGTAAGGTCAAGGTGGATTTGTTTCATGCTGGCTGCTGACTTAGAAAAAGGAGAGAAGGCGACTTCGAACATTTCTTTCTCCAGTCACAGATTGGACAAATTTTGGAACCCTTTTAAGTTGAAATCAATGAACGCCAGAAATTGTCTTTGCACTTCCATTCTTTCCATCAAAAGAAAAAGGCCACTACTATCCGAAAAAATCAGATAAGCTTCTATTTAGTGAGCTTTCTTTTACGTAGATATTGAAAGCGAAGTTCTTGAGAATATGCTGAACGTCTCGACGGATTTATAGTGAATATCACATTTAGACCTTTGGGGGCGGATGGAGTGGAATTAAGATGATGATCTTTTGGAAAAGTATATCTGAAATCCAAAAAATATATGTTGTGGCGGATTTTTTCTAATGAATTGTAAATGAAGAACAATTAGTGGGTATTGATTTTGGGAAGGGCCGAGACTTACCAGTTTTTTTGAATAGGTGAAGGATAGACACAAGATAAAAAATGTTGGAAGCAAGAAAATAATGCTATAAGGAAATGAATGTCATGGCTTATGTACTTCTATATAATTTGATTGAAAATGGGGTTGAGATCAGGCTTAATTGTACAAGATTTATTTGTCCTTATATATATATATTGATGAGATCTTGAGAAGTTTGTGTAGAATAATTATATAACTTCCCCCTTCTTAATTATGTGATATATTCGGATTTCGGGAGTTTAAAATTTCTTAATTTTGATGCGAAATATTCAAATTAGAATTTTCAGTTTTTATGAAGTAAAATATGCAATATTTCAGATTATAAAAAAAGTAGTAACAAGTCAACAATGATTAACAATTTAAAATTGATTTAATGGTTTATGAAAAAATTACAATCAAAGAAAAATTCGTTTGGCCTCTTAAAATTGAAAACATTCATGTAGATTGTGAGAAGAGGGAGCTATTAATTTTTAATTTAAGATCAGGATTCTGAACCATATCTCCATTTGGAAAAAAAGGTCGTCACCTCTTGAACTCTTCTAAAAACATATTATTCCACCTGTTGCGACAATCCTACAATTTTTAAAATAGAAATACAATTCTTCAACAAAATGTGCCCGGTATATTCTGGGATTAATTTTCATTGCTTTCACTAAAGATTCCTTCATTTGACTACTGAAAATGTCAAACTAAAGCGGTTTGCAACATGAAATCAAATATTGGAAAATGTACATGACTCTTTTCAAATGATTCGAGAGAGCTTCTTATGTGGAATAATTTTGAAACGAAACTTTATATAAAGATCGAATCAAGAATGGTACTTGTTCACCAAAAATGTAAAGCTTTTGTTTAAACTAATTAATGAGAAAATAGAGGTGCAATTCTAGTTCAAACATAATAAATTCTAGATCTATAATATAGGAGTTATCAGCAGGATGGTGCCCTGTGTCTAGATAATGAATATCAAGTATCATGTCCAATGATTAATCAATGAATTGGTAGTAATAGAAGCATGCACTAAATGTAGATAAAGCGAAATTAAATATAATACAGAAGGGAATTTATCACCATATATTAGGGGACGTTGGATATTCTCCTTTCCTGACACAACGTGGCGGTTGTAGGAAATGAAGATGGACAAGGAATCTTTGATCTTGTGAACGAACAATGTATATCCGAACGATGTAATATAGTGAACATGATAAGCTTTTGTAATACTCTCCTTAGTCACACCGTTTACAATTGCTCTTATCGGAAAGTGAAGATCCCGCCTTTTGTTTTTATCTCTTCCTATTTACGGGATATTCCTGTCGAAACCCTAAAAAGTACAACTGAAGAATGATGTCCGAAACCAAAATTTGCTATTTTGGACTCAAAACACTATAAATAGTGTTAAAAAAAAAAAGGTAAACAAAAATATATATAGCGCCATGAAATAGTGACGTATAATATAAACGGTAACTGAGACAGTTATGTATGCAGCTG